AAAAAAAAAAGCCACTATAATAAATGTTTAATGAAAAAGGTTGCCAATTATACGTATACATTCTGTTTCAGTTTTAATAATTGTGCAATGTTTATATTAGAAATAATGAAAATTAATAATTAATATAATTATTTTATTAAAAAATGTTAATTCTTGTTTAAAAAAATGTTTTAAATAAGGGCCCCTTAATTAGTGTAGGCCCTAGGGCCCCTGTTATATGAAAGACGGCCCTGGCTGTAACATATATGCACTAAGGGAATATCCACACAAACTTGCAAAGCTGCATAAAAGTATGCATAAAGAAAATAATCCAATCATTTTTTATGTGCGACTTTAAAAGAGAAATGCAATTGGATAATTTTCTTTATGTATATGTTTATGCAGCTATGCAAGTTGTGTGGATATATCCTAAGAGTGAAAAGGTCAGAATGATACAAATAACGCCAACAGTGCTTCCTGAACGCAGTGTCTATGGCCGGTATTCGTAGTCGATTCTTATTTCAAGACCGTCTTAAGTAATATCTTAAGACGCTAATGCAGTTCTCTAGCCGGTATTCATAGTCGATTCTTATTTCAAGATCGTCTTAAGTAATGTCTTAAGACGCTAATGCAGCCCTCTGATTGGTTCGTGACTTCTTGAGACCATACTTAAGACGGTCTTGAATATAAGATCTGACTATGAATACCGGCCTCTGATTGGTTTGTGACTTCTTAAGACCGTTCTTAAGATGGTCTTGAATATAAGTTCTGACTATGAATACCGGCCTATGACTACGTTTACATGCACTGGCAAAACCATTTTAGCTAAAGTTGTTAGATATCGTGTAAACATCCCTAATACCGATGTTATTAAAACCGTTTTAATAAATCCACACCTCTTCAGAAAGAGGTTTGGCTTTATTAAACCGTTTTAAGAAAGCCGTGTAAATGGTCTTCAATCGGTTTTACGTATAAAAATTCGGTGTTAACAATTTTACACATTTTATAAGGTTAAGAAATGAGAATATATATTTCGTCTCAGGTTCCGTATCATAATGCAGCATCCATTTTCGTAAATTTTATAACCTCAAAACTTATTTTACCTCTTCTATCTGTCAAGGAATGTTCTATACAATAAGCAGTTTCAAATCGTTTATGTTTTATGTTGGCAATACGTTTTGATCGGGTTTTATAAAGCTACTTTATGTTCGGTGGGTAAAATATGTCCGATCGTGTAAACTGGCACCAACACCGGTTTTAAACCCCAAGACACAATGCGAGGGAATACCGATAGCGATAGGAATAACACGATTTCAGTCTATCAGAAATCGGATATATCGGAATACACAGTTTCTGATAGGTTGAAATTGTGTTATTTCTATCGCTATCACTATTCCCTGGCATTGTGTCTTGGACTTAACTAAAACGGTTTTAACTAAAACGGTTTTACCAGTGCGTATAAACGTAGTCTATGTTTTCAGTATGGTAATAGAACAGCATGAGCCAATCAGCGAATTCTTGACAAGGAAAGCAGTATATCTTTACAGGGTTGTTAAAAAAAATGTTTTTTTTATTTTAAACAAAAAACATTGTTTTTTTTATTTGGCACAATGTTTTCTGTTTTATTTTGTGTTTTTTTAAGCAACAAAAAAAACATGT